GAAGGTCAGGGCCCTACTGAGGTTAAATAAGATACAGGTTTAACAGTGTGAAATGACAGTGTAATTAAATAACACATGATATAAAGGACAACAACAAATATTACAAGGCAAGCAAAACACAGTGAAAAAACATAACTCAGTCCCGAGATAACAGCCGGGGATCTCCCAGGATACCGTCCTGTAGTCCCCAAATATAAATATCATGTCCAGTGGATCTCCCGGGTGCAGTCCCGTAGTCCAACTCATAAATGTGCAGGGGGATCTCCTGGAATGTAATTCCGTAGTCCCAAAGTAAACATACAGGGGAGCTCCCGGGACACCGTCCCGTAGTCCCAAAATAAAGTGCAGGGGGATCTCCCGGAATACCGTTCCGTAGTCCCAAAGTAAATACACAGCAATAACAAAATTCAATCCAAACAATTTCATATCAAAGTGAAGCAGGTAATCCTAACCTAACATGATTCACGTAGTACAATTAAAGACAGTTAAGACAGATAAAGCAATTTAGTCAAGTAGGCATGTTTCTCTAAGCTACAGCAAGTTTAATATCCAAACAGTGTAAGTAAAGAAAGGAGGAACACAATCCAAGGTTATTTTAAAGGAAGACCGGATTCCCAACAATTAGCACAAGTGCGCGATCGTCACCTCACGCACGAGCATTTCAACTAACACAACATCAATCCTAAGGGAAAAAGTCCCTCACACAAGGTTAGACAAGCCACTTACCTCGAACCGGCTCAAAATCAACTAGAAACCACGCTTTTGCCACGAGTATCCGACTCCAAATGGCCCAAATCTATTCAATTCAATTACATATCGTAAATAACATCTCAAGCAACTGATTCTATAATTTAATTCAAAGCTAATACGCGAAGTTATGTAAAATGACCAAAATGCCCCTCAGGCCAACGTCTCGGAATCGGATGAATTTAACATTTTCAGAACCGCCGTACTCTCACGAGTCTAATCATATAAAAATCTCTCAAATCGGAGGTCAAACACCCACTCAAAACTCAATAGTTCGGTCTAAGAAGTTTCTTCCAATTTTTCCCAATTTTTGATCCCCAATCCGAATTTAAATGCCAAAATTACTATAGATTGATGGAATATAACTAGAAAGGATTAAAGAAACGTTACCCAATGATCTCCTCTTCAAATCCCTCTCCCGAGCTCCAATTTGATTTTTCTAACTTTTGAAACTAAACCCTCGAATTTCATATTTCTGCCCAGAGATTTCCGCTTCTGCGTCAAGGGACCGCATCTGCGGTCCCGCTTCTGCGGAACCCAGGTCACATTTGCGACTTTCACTAAAAGGCCAAATTTCCGCACCTGCGGTCTAAATCTCGCAGATGCAGATCCGCTTCTGCGAAAAATCCACCACATCTGCGGCAACTGCTGAACCAACCCAAACCCGCTTCTGCGGTCTACTTAGCTGCATCCGCGGTCCCCAAACCGCAGATGCGAAAATACCAGAAGCAGCAAAGCTCTGAAATCTCCCAACTTCCAAAATCCTTCCGTCAACCATCCAAATTCATCCCGAGGCCCCCGGGACCTCAACCAAAAGCACCAGTATCACCTAATACCTCATTCAAACTTGTACCAATCCTTAAACCACCTAAAAAAATATCGGAAACTCGAATTAATCAAGGATTTAAGCCTAAGAACTCCAAATTCCCTAAAAATACGCTTTCGATCAAAAACCTAACCAAATCACGTCCGAATGACCTGAAATTTTGCACACACATCCCAAATGATATGACGGAGCTACTGCAACTTCCGAAATTCTATTCCGACCCTCGGATCAAAATCTCACTATCGGACCGGAAACTTCAAAAATTCAAACTTCGGCATTTCAAGCCTAAATTAGCTACGGACCTCCAAAACACATTCCGAACACGCTCCCAACCCCGAAATCATCTAACGAAGCTAATGGAACCATCGGATTTCCGTTCCGAGGCTGTCTTCACACTGTTCTGACTATGGTCAGTTTTCCAACACTTAAGCTCTCATTTAGGGACTAAGTGTCCCAAAACTCTCCGAAACTCAAAACCGAACATCCCGGCAAATCAAAATAGCAGAACTAAGCTTGGGGGAAACAGTTAATAGGGGATCGGGGCGTAAATTCCAAAAAGGACCGGCCGGGTCGTTACAGAAAAAAACTGACTCAAATAAAATCAAAGAAGAAGAGACTCAAATTCAGTCATCGCTGTCGTCACCTAATAGGACTATCGGATTTTGAAGAGATGCATAAAACTGAAAAAGAATTAACTAAATTGAAGGGAGGGAGAAGAGTTTGCTACTCTATTTGTGAAGGAGGAGGCTAATGAATATTCGGACTTTTGAATGAGCTGGGAATTTGAAAAAAAAGGTTAACTAATAAGTTTTAAGTTTATTATTATGTAGAAGTATCAAATTATAATTGAATTTAGAAAAGGTTATAAAAATATAACTGGTTGACTACCCAGTAAATAAACAATCATTGAATTCAAAAAAAGTAAAAGTACAATAGAATTATAAAAATTGTAGGAGATAAGATGCGAACGCGGAACATCAAAGAAGTGAAGGCACCTTGAGTGCTTTCTTAAACCAACTCTTCTGCCCAGCTTTTGTGTTTAGGGGCACATGTAAAATATTTAAGGGGTCCTTACTATATATATATATATATATACATATATATATATATATATATATATATATATATATCCCTCACCTCCCCACGTAGGTTCGCCCCTCATTTCATGCCTCTATTTATAATGATTGTATTAAACATGACATTAACAATTGAGATCATGGGAAGGAGTTATGGAGGTGTGAGAGTTACAATCATAATAGTGATAAATAGTGGTTGAATTATTTGCTTCATGAATAAAAGTAATAGGAGTAATGGACATCCACATTTACTAAAAATTTTATAACGAAGGCATTCGTATTTGAATACTTTTTGAATTTATCGAGCCTGTGAGTAAAACGGTCACGCTTAGAACTGTTGAGCCTGTGAAAATGCAGCAAACTCCAACCAATGCTCATGTGCTTTGGTTTGGTTTAATTTCTTTTTGTTCTCATTTATTTCGACTACCAAAAAGTGTCTGTCCAATACAGTACTTGTACATTTCAATTATTTATGCTTTTGTCTGTCCCTGTTCATTTTTATGTACTTTTTCTCCCTATAATACACAATTTGCTTCAAATCAGTTGTGATTTGTACTAACCCACGAAGTATTCATCAAATGATAACATGAGTGCCAAATTTTTTCTATCGTTGTCCGTTTGTGGTTTTGGGTTTTAATATCTTTTAAAAGCAGAATATCTCTATTTACATTTACTTTCCCTCATACATATGGGTTTTCATGATTGTATTGATTTGAAATTAAATAAATAACTTGAAATTTTATTGATATAGTTCGTTTCAAAGGCCAAGCTCCAAAAGAAAATTGTGATTCGACCCTAAAAGTTCTTTTTTTTTGGTTTCTTCCTTAGATCAGATGAAAAAAATACTCCTTTAAACTAACATATTTTATTCAGAATATTATTAGTGCTACGGGTATACAAAAAAAATCGATAAACCGTAATAATCCGAGTCAAACCAAGAAAAAAAAATTCGATTGTGGTTTGGTATTGGGAAAAAAAAAGTCGACCTTAATTGGTTTGGTTTGGTTTTAACTAAAAAATATTTATACAATTATTAAAATATTTTATACATATAATTACTTATTGTAATATAATTTATAAATATTTCTTAAATTTTTTTACAGTTTTATCTTTTAACGTATTATTTCAAGTTTCGACTTAACATTCTTGAATGGTAAATAATTTTTATATCCCATAAATATAGTAACTCAAACAAAATTCAAATTAATACTAATGCTATCAAAAGAAATTCAATTCGACACTAGGAATGACTATAGTGTTGGATATCTATTTTTTGGTTTTGCATTGGTTTACAATAAAAATGCATAACTTACTTTATCTTTTTCGTTATTGCTTATTTATGTAATTAATAGTACTTATTAGCTATACTTGTTTTAGCATGACCTATATAGTATTTTTAGATTATGTTAATTTTCATTATGACTTATTAATTAGCAATATCTATTTTATGCAATTTTATTATCTTTGTTATTGAATATTTAGTATCATGCTATGACTTATCTCATATAATTGTGTTATTTTCTTGGAAAATATATTACATAGTTGTATCGTACTATGACTAAAGTAATATTCGAAGCAAAAGTTGCATATTTGTGCTATGAAGACTAGTACTTTACCGGGGGAAAATCCGAAAAATCCGGAGGAAAAAAACAAAAAATCTGAGAAAAACCGAGATTGAAACTCGACTTTGTCAATTTGGTTTGGTTTATAGATTTTAAAAACCCAACATTATTGGTTTGGTTTGATAATTGAAAATTTTGAATTAACCCGACCTATATACACCCCTAGTTACGGCTATTTCATAAAAGGATCCTTCTAAAATTTTCTGATTTTTCTCTGTATATGTGTAATATACATGGAGAAGTATAAGATGCCAAAATTTGTACCACACAATCACAATGTATGGGCAGCCTAAGATTTGAGTAATAAAGTAAGAAATATGAAGGTACATAAGGAGGAATAGGTGGCAAGATAGTAATGGATAGCACATGGTGGATGCTAAAACAGGAGAAAAAATTTGAGCACTCACAACAAACAGAAAACAGATGGAAAGAAGATGACAAAAATTCACGGGTCACAGAAATTGGAATTAACCATTAAAAGGAGCTAGCAGTCCTTTTTTCACATGCTAACACTACTGAAATCAAATAATTCACGCCCCAAATTTAACTGTTTCTGTGAAGTATGTCCCCACGTCCACTACCTAGTTTAAGAGTTGTGCACTATTTTTTACATTATTGAGTAAAGTTGACCTACAATAACATATAATTTTTTCATGTTTGATATGGTAACCGTAAAAATAAAATAATAATATGTTATAACAGATAAAATTGCAATATTAAAAATTTACACTATGGTATATTATATATAACTTAAATTCTTTGTATTTATTTTACCCCTTCCCTCTTCCATTCCAGAAGCTGCAATTAATCCCCTGCTCTATAGCTTTATGCAGCTGAAAGGTGCTGGTTTGAATTGATTCTCATTGTACCATAATGTATTTACTCTCAAAATCTTCTAGTTTGTATCTGCAAATTTTCTTGGTTTTGTTGTGGTGTATCCACACATTGGAGTTTCTTGAATTGGCAAGTGCAGCTACACCAAAAGTGAAAGTTGGGAATATATCAAAAGTGGAAGATGCTTCATATTTTAGGATATACTATGGACAGACCTTCAAGGTTATCAAGAACACTCTTGATGGCAAGAGTTATCTTCTTATCCAGGTACTCTTTACTACTACTAGTTTGCTTAAGCAATGAATATGGCACAATGTTCTTTGCTCATTTCTATTCCTTGTCAGAAGTCAGTGACAGTATAAATAATTAATCAAGACTTAAAGTTGATCCTTAATAAAGAGATTATGTAACTGTGTAAAAAGGCACCCCGGTGTACTAAACTCCCGCTATGCGTGGGATTCGGGGAAGGGTCGGACCACAAGGTCTATTGTACGCAACCTTACCTGCATTTCTGCAGGAGGCTGTTTCTACGGCTCGAACTCGTGACCTCCTGATCACATGGCAACAACTTTACCAGTTACACCAATGCTTCGTCCAATGCTAGAACAGGCTCTACTTTAGCTTAAGGAAGGGCAAGAAAAAGGATTTAAGTTATATATACGATAATTTAAATATTTTGTATACTATCGGTATATATTTAACCTATTATAGTAGGTTTGTTGTCGTTTTAACAAATAACAATTAATGTATATCATGAAATTCACTAGGAATTAACTTAAATTTGAAAAAGAAGAGGCCAGTCTTGTTTAAATTTTTGGTACTCGAGTGATTTCAAGGCTAGAATTACTCTGAAAAGAATATGATAAGGGTTGCTGGACCACAAATATTGGACCTTGGACGTAGTAGGGCCAAAGGTTTAAAAAAGAGAGGGTTCTTTATCATTTGATCCTCTGTAGTTGGAAATTCAAGAACTCACAAGTCCTTCTTGGTTGCTGAATTCCATGGCACAAGTTCCTTTGTGAGTTTTGTTTTTGAGTTGTGCCAGGAGCTTTTCTTTAGGGAACAATCACAATCTGGAAAAAAGTAAAAGTGTTATTACCTAAACTATTCCATCCATTAATACAAACCATATTTTTTGGCTGAGACCATTTTCCAGCTTGACAATAATTCTAATGGTGTCATGATTGCTGTGACACCCTAGGTGAATCTTACTTCAACAAAACATGAGATATATGCTAGGTATATAAGTAAACAAGCCTTAGACCCTACTAACGCGTTTTAAAGTCATGTGGGCTGGACCCAAAGCAGACAATATCACTACTGGATTGGGCTGTTACACAGCATGCACTAGAGCATACCTTTGCAAACCAAGAACTCAGAGTTAAGATACGTAGAGGTTCCATGATTTAATCCGATATGAATACCAAAGGTCTAACAACTCTTTTGGAATAATGCTGCTGATGTACTAGGAATATATATATATATATATATATATATATATATATATATATATATATATATATATATATATATATATATATATATATATATATATATGTTCTTTTAATTCTTACAACTAGATATAAATTGCTTGATAGTAGATGTACCCCATATACTTGTCGATAATATGCATCCAACCCTGCATACAGAAAACTAGCTAGAGCAGGTATCTACTCTATAAAAATGGTTCAGGTGAATTCCAGCTAGCTGCAAGTTATCAGTTCTTTTCTGATCCAAGAATATGATTCCAGCAAACCAGCTCTCTTTTGAATTACTATGTAAAACTGTGTGCAGAACAACACGAGAATGGCCAGCAGAACAAAATATTGCACCTCAAGAATAAAGTCTTTCGTTATCCCACTAGCAAACTACTCGATCGAGACTGATTACTATTTTCCAGGTACCATTTTAACCACCTCAACTTTTCTCCTTAATAACATCTTGTAAGCTTTACATGTTATTTCTATATGTTAATAACTCGTGTACTGACTCTGTTTCGTTTTTTCTTTTCTGTTCTTTTTCCTTCAATTCTCAGTCTCATTTTTCGAGGTAAGAATGCATAACTTTATTACTACTATTATGATAGCTGTAGTACTAGTACTATGAATACATGTTTTTGGTGGAAAATCCGGAAGAAAAAAAAATCTTTCTCTAGTTTGACAATTCTTGCATGGAATATTGCAGCTTCTAGGCATGTTGGGAAACTTGAAAGGCATAACATCAACATATGTGGCCTCTCAATGCGTATTAAAACTATATCAGGACGGACAAGTTGAGACCATTAATAAGAGTGAACCTCAACAACTTGCACAATATGCAGCTCACTTCATTGCCAACACTGATGAAACTCAACCCTGCAACTTCGCCACATTTGTACCTATTGGTGAAGATGCACCTCTCCAGGTAACTACCCTTACCTACACTGACAGTTTAAAGATATTTTTACATTATCAGTGTAATTTAACTTGTTGTAGCATGGGTGGCCTGCCTTATGTTTGGTAACTGGTTCTACTTATTATGGACATGAGTTATCTTTTAAATTGTCAGTAGAAGTTAAAGCTTATGAGCTAAGGCTTCTTTCTGTTTTGTCGAGCTTTGCTTTGGTCTCCGGTTGGATGGTCACACATAATTTGCATTACTTTAACAGCGTGCGGAGTGGATAAAATACTTGGGAGTTTTTGCGAATTTAGAAAACAGGGCAAACCAAGTCTATGATGCAGTAAGTGAAGAATTGAGACATATTCCTCGGTTTTTCATTATGATGAAAATATTTAGAAGAATTTCTTGTTTATTACGGATTTGTCGTTTGTGAACAGATTAAGGAGAACTATTTGTGCTTGAGCAAAGCTGCAACCAGTAAGACTTTAGTCAAACCAACTGTATCTTGGATGGAGTATAAAGATGTGTGTACACTGACTCTTGAACTCAACCTTTTCTTTGAGTTTGTTTTATAATCGCCCTTAACATACAACTATTTCCTTGTATAGGGAGTGTGGTCATTTACAAGAGAGCCATACAAATTAAAGGTTAGATCTGCGTCACTTTCAACAGTTTTTTGTGTAATTTTCTTGAGTTAGATTATATTAATCTTGACGATGATGCAGTTTGTGGAGGATGCTGGTGGAGTCAATGTCGATGATTCCATCAACAAAGTCACATACAATATGTCCATTCCTGATGATTTAGAAGAGTTTCATGCCATTTTGTGTGTAAGTTAATTCTCTCATTGTTATATCAGTTTAGTTAAATTATTGCTTTTAATCATTTAAATTGTCAAACTGTCATCTACTTGTGCTGATTTAGATATTTGGTTTTGTAGACTGTGGATGTAGTGATTGATGAAACATATACCTCAGATCCAGTGGTCTATAATGCCTCCACATTTCTTGGAAACATCAATCTGGAAGATCAATCTTGCTTTGCTTTTCTCTCAAATCAAAGCTTGTGGAGATATGATAAAAGGGTGCAAAACTCTACAGTCCTAGGTTGTTTTTCTGTATTTATATTGTTCAAGTAATATATCCTTTTTTATTATGAATACAAAGTTTTATTCTACACTAAACAGTAAGATACTAGGGTTATATTAGTTTTCACAAACTAGGAAGAAACAAAAGAAACATATCATAGTTTCATATAAGGTTGTAGAATAGTCAGAGCTTTTTTTCAAGATTATACAGAGTTAAATGCATAATTGATTTAATTAGGAAATAACTAGCCTTCTTTTCTATTTTTTTCTGGGATTGATGGTGTCTCCCTTTTGCTTGTTCAAGACTGGTATGATGGAGCTGTCTCTCAACCCCAACTGGTCTTAGCAGATATTATTGAAGCTTTATATCCTACAGGAAACTATAACACAACATATTTCAGAAATATTGCAAAGGTATGACACTTTTGTATTATACAGTTTTCTTCTGTTTTCACTGGACAATATAAGAAATTGTTACACGATTTATTCACCTAAATGATAACTATAGGTAATCGTTCACACAAGTGAGATTAATTACCTGAAAAAACAAGACATATTACTTGCTTCAACCGGTTAAAATACACTAATAGTGTAAAAAACTTATGTATTGTTTGTGTATACCCCCACCTCAAAGGAGTGGGAAGCCACCCTAATATTTTGACATGTTAACCTATTTCAGGGAGAAGGGATCATAAGCATTGGTCCTGAAATGTGTGAAAGAGATAGCTCCATCGCAATGGAACCTACAGTTATAGCTTGCCAGTAGCCGCTGCTCTATTCAAGATTCTTTGTCATGATTTTTGGTTCAAATTTATTGTTAGTTTCAGAACTGGATATTCTTCATCATCTACAGAAAGGAAAAGCTGAGGCCATAAGCATTTTGGTTATTCAAAATATGATATACTGTGTTCAGTTTCTAACCAAAATAATGGAATATGATGCCATCAGTGTATAATTCTGCTCAAGTATATTGAATTTCAGTTCTCACTTAGCTTCTTAGTCCTGGTCTGTTCAACAACAGTTTCTTGGTTAGATATTTGTATATGACATCCAACTCGAAATTAACCAAACACACACAAAACGCCATCAACCGCATAATAACTTAGGTGCATCTAATATGGTGCACGCATCTACATTAGCGTGTTGACAAGGCAGCACAGTTAAGCTAAACAAGCTAAAACTATTCAGCATAAATAGGTATGTTACAGTCTTACAGAGAAAAGCATGGTCAAAATATATCGTTAAATCAAGAGTCTTGCATAATCACAAGCAAAAGTTCTACGTACATCTTTAATGGAGTACATTACTTTATTATAGTAGTATTAAAGAAGAAAGAAAAAAAAGAGCTATCATCCGTTGAAGACTAATTTAAAATTAGAGGACACTTAAATAGTTTAAGATTTGATATTGGGTGATTCTCTCCCGTTTTATTCGTAATGAGTTATTTAAGGGAGGTTCCTTTGGCTCCGATTCCGAATAATTATCATGTTCTTGACTTGATACACCTGAAGAACGAGGTCACACGGGTTTGATCTTTTATAATCAAAATTATATAGGAATAAATTTTCTAGTTTTAAGTCAAAGTAAATTTGCTCTATTACCTATTTTTAGTAGTCTGCTTCATAAAAGCATACGAGATAGTTTTGCCCAGCATAAGTCAAGTGTATTGTTTCCTGCCGAATAAGAGCCCCTAATCGAGAATCAGAAAGAGAAAGACAGTCAAAATTTTCCCCCCTCAACATAAACCCTATCTAAATCAGCCGACGGCCGGTATGAGTCGGTCAGTTGACGATCTCGGAACGAAGCCAGATCCGTCGAAGAAGCCTGTCTTCCTTACTAAAGCACAGCGAGAGGAGTTAGCCCTTAAGCGCCGCCACGAAGAAATCGCCGAGCAGAAACGGCGGGCCGAACAGCTTCTCCAAGAACAAGGTAACAACCGCCCTTCCTCCACCGACAACGACCGTGACCATGACCGGGATCCTCGTGAGAGAGATAGGGATAGGGATAGGGATAGGGATAGGGATAGAGGGGACCACCATCGCTCCAGAGACCGCGATAGAGAAAGAGACAGAGAAAGGGAGTCAAGGGACCGTGATAGGGAGGCGGAACGCCGGAAGCGGGAGAGGGAGCGTGACGAAGAGCTAAAAGAACGAGAGCGAGCTCGATTGGAGAAACTCGCCGAACGAGAGCGTGAGAAGGAGCTTGATGCTATTAAAGAGCAGTATCTGGGCTCTAAAAAACCTAAGAAGCGGGTGATTAAGCCCAGTGAGAAATTCCGATTCTCCTTCGACTGGGAGAACACGGAGGACACATCACGTGACATGAACGCTCTCTACCAAAACCCTCATGAAGCCCGCTTACTCTTTGGTCGCGGATTTCGTGCTGGAATGGATAGAAGGGAGCAGAAGAAGCTTGCTGCTAAGAATGAACGGGAGCTCCGTGAGGAGATTCGTAAGAAGGACGGAATCGAAGAGTCTGCTTTTGAAGCAGCTGCTTTAAAGAAGAAGGAACTAGATGCTGATATGTATGATACTTTCGACATGAGGGTTGACCGCCATTGGTCGGATAAGAAGCTGGAGGAGATGACGGAGAGAGATTGGAGAATATTCAGGGAGGATCATAATATATCCTATAAGGGGTCTAGGATACCCCGGCCCATGAGGAATTGGGCTGAGAGCAAGTTAACTACCGAGTTGCTCAAGGCCGTTGAGAGGGCTGGCTACAAGAAGCCTTCTCCTATTCAAATGGCTGCAATTCCGCTTGGACTTCAACAGCGTGATGTGATTGGCGTGGCAGAGACTGGTTCAGGTAAAACTGCTGCTTTTGTTCTCCCTATGTTGACTTATATCACTAGGCTTCCTCCATTGAGCGAGGAGAATGAGGCGGAGGGGCCATATGCTGTTGTGATGGCACCTACCCGAGAATTGGCTCAACAGATTGAGGATGAGACAGTTAAGTTTGCGCACTATTTGGGTATAAAAGTTGTTTCTATTGTTGGTGGGCAGTCCATTGAGGAGCAAGGTTTTAGGATTAGGCAGGGTTGTGAAGTCGTGATTGCAACCCCTGGACGACTTCTTGATTGCTTGGAGAGGCGTTATTGTGTACTGAACCAGTGTAATTATATTGTTCTTGATGAGGCTGATCGAATGATTGACATGGGTTTTGAACCTCAAGTTGTCGGTGTACTGGATGCTATGCCTTCGAGTAATATGAAACCGGAGAATGAGGATGAAGAGCTTGACGAGAAGAGGATTTATCGAACCACTTATATGTTCAGTGCTACCATGCCACCTGCTGTAGAGCGGCTGGCTAGAAAATACTTGAGAAATCCTGTTGTCGTGACTATTGGCACTGCTGGAAAGACTACTGACCTCATTACTCAGCACGTGTTCATGGTTAAGGAATCCGAGAAAATGTATAAGCTGCAGAAATTGCTGGATGAGCTTGGAGATAAGACAGCTATCGTGTTCATCAACACTAAGAAGCAGGCTGATTTTGTTGCTAAGAATCTGGATAAAAACGGCTACAGGGTAACCACACTGCATGGTGGAAAGTCACAGGATCAGAGAGAAATCAGCCTTGAAGGATTTAGGACAAAGAGGTATAATGTGTTAGTTGCTACTGATGTTGCTGGTCGTGGGATTGATATACCTGATGTGGCCCATGTAATAAACTATGATATGCCAAACAATATTGAAGCATACACCCATCGTATTGGACGTACAGGTCGTGCTGGAAAGACTGGTGTAGCCACAACATTCTTGACCATGCAGGATACTGAAGTCTTTTACGATCTTAAGCAAATGCTCACTCAAAGCAACAGTCCGGTACCCCCTGAACTTGCCCGGCATGAGGCTTCGAAGTTCAAGCCAGGAAGTATTCCCGACAGACCACCTAGGCGACAAGAAACTTTATTTACTCATTAAATTGTAATTGATTTATATGCTATTGTAGCGGTCAAGAGTTAAGAGTTTCTGTAATGGGATCTGCTGAAAGATGGAGCGAGCTGGGAATGATGGTGTTGGTAGATACAACGGAGGATTCCAACATAATGGAAGTGGTAACCACGTGACCAGTTATTTTGGATAAATGAGTTTCATTCTGTTACTAACAAGTAATGAGTTGTTAACTTTGCCGAACGCATTTGCTTTCTTATTCTGATTTGGATTATGGATAGCTAAGCTTTACTTAAGGTCTTCTTGTAAATTGTTGCTGTCTTGTTTCTTATGTTTCTATTATACATTACTTTATCTTAAGAGTCTCAGGAACTTAAATGGAGTACCTTGGTTTGAGGACAGGCCGAAGTATGACATTTATTGCCATTAAGTAGCTAATTCCTTCAACGATAAGGTAGACATGCCTATGAAATTATTTCTTCAATCAATCCAGTTTCCGGTAAAAAAGACCAACTTCCTTTGTCCAGAAAAGCAACGTGTTATAGTTGTTTTGCGTTATTAATACAATTTTCTCATTTGCTTCAAATCCTTCTTCTAGCCTGCCATATAACTTTCCTAATTTGGATTATCCAGCAGTTCACTTCTCATCCAAATGCGAAGATCTCTTGCTTACTCAACTACTTAACTGTGTGAATTTCCATAAAATGGATAGTGTAGAGATAAACATGATAGTGAGGAAAATAATAAGTAGTGCGGTTCACTGACAAAGTGAAAATAGTGTACTCTCAGTAATCAGTCATTACCATTTAAATCATCTTTCTGTATTTTTTTTGGAATACACCCAAATTTATAAGTTGGTGTTAATTCTTTTAAGATTTTGATTGTCATATCGTATGTCCAACTTGTGATTTGAGAAGAATGGCTGTGTTTGAGTATTGCTTGAAGTTGAAATCTGTATTTTGTGAGTAAAAGGGATTTACTTGCTGTGGATATCAATTGTTGTGCTAGTAAATTCTGGACTTTCAGTATTCAATGAAAGATTCAAGCAATCAAACTGGATTTCGGAAGCAAACAAAAACCATCAATGCTGGTTTCATTTATTTTCTGTCTTGAAATTGAATTACAAATCACACTTGAAAATTACACTCTCTTTATTTGTTGTTTCCTTCCACAATGGTAACCCTTCACATCTTGGACCCTTCAAGCGCCAAACAACCTGCAAGATTGGAACACTTCAAATTGTTAGTTACCTCCTCAAACGGGGAGGGGAAAAAAAGAAATAGATCATCCATGATTCATGCTGTAGCAATTTTATCAAATCTTACTTCTGCAACCTTGATTGGGAGCGCCTGGTACACAGAAAAAATTAGTATGTCAGTGAAGTTGTAGTAAAAGAAGTACAGGAGAAAACAATGAAGGAAGACTACCATAAACGAAGTAGGAGTAATAACAATCAAGCATAGGAAAGGGAAAATTCCAATTTATTGATTTTGTCAACTTGATTGACACAACTGGTGATTTAGAAAGGTGAACAGCAGAATCAAGCTGCATGCTGTATAATTCTAATTTAGTACTAGAATATACTAGGGTCTCTTGAAAAACTGTAGGCAAAAGCTTTAGAGCATGCCTTTGTGATATCTGTGGCTTAACTTTCTCCCTCTCCTTTGGTCCTTGTGGTGTTTCGTCCTTTCTGATAGGCACATTTTTTACCTGCAATAAGTGTCATTAAGGAAGCAAAGGTTAAAAACAATTTTATTAAAAGTAATTCATCTCATAAAGATGTTTGTGGTATACTGTCAATGTCATGCAGCACTATACCAAGTTCCTAAACTCAAGATTGTAGAAAGTCTCGATGTATCTTTGCTTTGCTTGTTTCTGATCTCTGTACAATGTCCTCCAAAAAGTATAGATGGACCCCATATTCAATACCTTGTTTGCATAGATCTTCCATGTGTAACTGCAAAAATTTAGGATTAAAGGATTAAGAAATTTTCTGCAAGATATGTGCTTCTTTGCAATTTGAATGGCTTATCTGTGAGTTACCATTCATATATACGGTTTAGACCCTGGACTGAAATCCTGTTCCAATACTCAGGATCCTCCCTGCATTTTTGGAAAAAGTTGGCAATTTTGTTGCTTGATTCATCCCCATTATTTGGATCAATATGAAAGCCTGAGACCCCATCAACAATAATCTCAGCAGGGCCACCTTGGTTGGTAGCAAAGGTTGGTAATCCACAGTTCATTGCCTCAATGACTGTTAGACCAAATGCTTCATACAATGCAGGCTGCACAAAAGCTCCTTTGGAATCTGCTATTGTGCGGTAGAGTTCACTATTTCTGTATCTGTCAGTCTGAGCTGCTATCCATCTAATCTGACCCTTAAGCTGGTATTTCTCTATCAGCATGTGCATCTTTTTTATTTCAGCTGCTTCTTCCCTATCCTTGGATTTTGTAGGATCAAAGGAACCACCAACCACAACAAGGTTAACTAAGCTTCTGAGCCTCTTGTTCTTGCCATACCATTCTGTTAGTCCAGATGTGTTCTTCACTGTGTCCAGCCTTGCCATGGTAAACAGGATAGGTTTCTTTCTGTCTTCTAAATATCCACTGTGTTTGAAACAAGTGAAACATTAATACATAGAGCGGTGGGATGTTCTAGGCACTAAACTGAAGTTTAACACTAAGACTTACACGTGCTCGTCATTGTCCACTTTACTAAAAAGCAGTTCCTCAATGGCAGGGCGGAAAGCAGTCAAACGCTTCTGCTTTTCTGTGTAAGGGAAATACACCGATTGGTCTGCCCCAGGTGCAGCAATATTAAACTTAGGATCAAAGACATTGATGCCTGAAGCAACTCTGTAAAGCCCTGGAAGGGTAAATGCACTATGGCTCTCATACTGTCCTGGTCTATCTTTGCTGCATATGTTGAAGTATTCAAGAATGAGATCCATTAAGTTGCAAACTTTTGAGCAAATACATTTACTGAGTAGTGTGTATTCCATGATAGCGAAAGAGCGATGCTGAAATATACGAGTGCACTACTTATTAGCTCTTTGCTTCCTTAGTTCCAATTCTTACCTTCCAGCTATTTCTTGATATGTGCTTGTGATAATGAAATCTGCTGAATTCATTGCAATCAAATCAGCTGTGAATTGGCAAGAAAAGTGGTACTTCGGATCGAGTTCCTTCAATTTGATGTCAGAGTCTTCATATTTTGTCTTCTCCAGAGCATGAGCAATAGTTCCCTGTTACAAAGATGGTCTAGGTTAGTTGACATTAAGAACCAACTCGGAGAAGAAACAACATCAAATATGATAAGAAAAGTTACCAGAGTTATCCCAAGTTTTCTAGCCATTAGTGAAGCCACTAGATTCCCATCAGTGTAGTTACCAATGATTAGATCAGGCTTGCCTTCCATTAGCTCGACGATTTTGTCAGCAGCATCCTTTTGTCAAGGGGAAAAATGAAATTGAGGAAACAATACATCTTTGATGAGCAAGGTTGATATAAAAATACACACCTGAGTATATCTCTCCAGATATGGATAGATATCAAATCGTGAAACCCATTGATTAAGCACTCCCTTTTCTGTCCTAAATGGAACTCTGAGGATGTGTGAATGTTTTGTATTCTTGATTGGTTCTAGTTCCTGGTTGCACTTTGTTCCTTTGGCGTCTGGAATCAGTCGGGTTAACTGTGCAATCAAGATATGATATTAACTTTTCTAAACAGCCTCTACATAATTGCATAGTCACGTCGATTGTCTAGGAACTCACCACAAGAATTTGAGGCTTAATATTGAGTCCCTGCTGTTTAATTCTTTGGAGCATTTCTTCTTCAAAAGCTACAACTTGATCCAAAACATAAACCACCTATTGAACAAGAGCAGAAGTGGTCAAACTGTTAAAAATTATTTGGTAGTGTAAAAATTATTTTATTGTCAATGCAGAGAGGTTAAATGCAAAAGCTATTAAATGCTTACCTGACCGCCAGTGTCTGGCAAGCCAAGAACATCTGCTTGGCCAAAGTATCCATGGACAGAGAACAATACAATATTGAAAACAGTTGGAACCCTTCCAAAGAACTTCTCAATGTTCAATGGATCTGGTGCCTGAAGCACCTCAGACAGTGTTCTCATGGTGTCGCGGACCCTTTCAGCTGTATCACCCCATCCTTTCTCAAAACCCCATTGTTTGAATCTTTACAAGAATTGAAGTTACTTAGTACTATGTAGCACACCAAAAGTGGAAGGAAGTAGAGGAAAAAACAAATCACCTAAGCTCAAAGCTCTCGTATGGTGTATCTGTTGGTAAGGAGGAAATAGATGCTTCTGCTACAACCAGTGCCGCCTGAAGCTTTGAAACAGTGCTGAGTGTCTCATTGATCATCAGTTTCTGCAGTTGAACATAAAGAAAATTTGTTACATGAATCTTCTTTTCCTATTTTTTCCTCTTAGAGTTGACAAGTTTATTTATGGAGTTTGATTTTTGTTAACGTACATCTCCTTGGTGATTCAAAGTGAGCAAGTAGTCAACCAGACACTGTGCACTCGCGGAGATAGCATTTAGCTTTGAAGTTAGAAACTTGGAAACATAACTAAGACCATTTCCAATTGAAGAGGATAGGGTCAGTCGAGGCGTTGAGAAGTCTACTGCTCCAAAATCAATTTCCAGGGCATATTCATCCTTTGCCCTGCATTTATTCACACAAAGGTAACTCTGATGTGTTTCTGATTGAAGTTATAAAACCACATAAGGTTTGATAAACTGAAAAGTATACAATACCAGCTTTCATCAACTATCATTTCCTTGAATTTCAAGTATTCTGTAGCTGTAATACCCTCAACAGAAAGATCATTAGCATTCACTTTCACATATTCCCAGAATCCAGGATTCTGTCTCGTGGCGAAGGCAATGTAGGGAGGAACAACTGCAGCCTCCTGCAAATTTGATCAAACAAGGTTTTAGGAATAATGCATCCTGAAACAATATAAGGACATCATAAGTACATATGAATCTAGTTATACCATTGTAGTACATAATATGTAGCCAAGTAAGCCTTCCAAAACATGATTCCTTTCAGCAGGATCATCAATTACTTTCTCCAATTCATCCATCAAGTTATGAAGTTTCATCATCCTCTTTCCTTGCTCTATGTACTTTGCAAAACACTTTTTCATGTGGTACCGGCTTTGCCTCAAGGCCTCTGGCATGCTATCAGCTATGGACTCTGATCTATTCAGGGCTGGTGCAGTAGCCATTTTTGCAAGTTCTAAAAGCTTAGGTTATGGAAATTTACGGAAAGAATTGGTTTGATTGACTTGGGATTTGTGTTGAATTTTTTTGGAATTTATAGGT